GCTCAGCATAGCAGACATTTCGGCCCCAACTCAGAAAGGGCAACAGGGACAGGGATGGAAGGAACTGAAACTCGCTCTGCTCTCTTGTGCATGATTCCCCACAGTGATCACCAAACAGGGGGGCATTCTGTGCTGGCCATGAGCAGAAGCCTACACATAGGTTAGCATTGTCAGACAAAGCCATTAGAAAGCCAGTGTGGTGTAGTAGTTAGAGGATTGGGCTGTCACTTGGCAGGTCCAGGCTTTAGTCCTCGCTTAACCATGAAGTTCACTGGATAACTTTGGGCCAACCACCAACTCTTAGCCTAACCTACCTCACATAGTTGTTTTGAGTATAAAATGGATAGAAAGAGTATCATGTGAGAGCCTTGGGTTTCTTAGAGGAAAAATGAAGGAATATTGATATAAGAATAAAAAATAAATAAGCTAGTAGATTAGGCTAGAATCACAGGCTACCCCCTCAACATCCAAGTCAGCAGTTTGCTCCAAAAAGGTCCGGAGTTTGGTTCCTTCCTGAGTAGTGGAAGGGGGTAGTTTTCCAAAGGTAGACCTCTGGCCTGGAGCTGATCACACATCTGCCCGTCTGCTGATTCCCACCATATGAATTGCTTGCAATCCTAAGGAGGTGTCAGGGAGCATGAGGCAGAATTTAGTCTAGGGATGCGTCCCACCTGTGGATCATGGGGCTCCTTCCTGACGGGTTCAGGTTTGGTGTCAGGGTTCTGGTTCTGAATTCTTTGCATTGGCTTCCCAGTCTTAGATTTAGAATTTGGGCTGTTGTTTAGACTTGACCATCTGGCGACCATCCTCCTCTCTTTGTGCATGTGGAAGCTCTACCTGCTGATCCCGGCCTCGTGTAGAGAATATGGCTATGGCACAGATTGGATCATGCCCTTATTCTTTATTTTCTATAAACAGACAATAGAAATTATATTGAAGTTGGGAGTTCTATGTGTATTCCTTCTGTTTCCTGAAAAATGGTTTTGTTATGTATTTTTGTGTATTGGCATGGAATTCAAGATTTCTGCCCCAATTCCATGAGGGCTGAAGATCTGTTAACTGATGTAAGGGAAGGCGCAGATGTTAAATGATTATTTTGCTTCTGTGTTCTCCCCAAAGTGGGTTGGGAGAGATCTACCTGGGGAGCTAGATGAGGTTGAGGTTATGGGGGCACAGATTGGAGTCACCTCCCTAGAAGTCAAGCCGCTCCTCAGATGGATGTTGCAAAGGCACTGGGCCCTGATGGGCTACACTTGAGGGTACTTCGGGAATTGGCAGGGATATTCTTGCATCTGTTGGCCTACATGTTTGAAATCTTGTGGAAAACAGGAGAAGTTCCAGAGGATTGGAGGGTGTCATCAGTAGTTCTACTCTTCAAAAAGGGCAACAGCAGGGATATAGGGAATTACAGGCCAATTAGCCTTACGTCCATTCTAGGAAAGACTCATAATAGGGAAAGCTCTAGAAACCCTAGATAGGGAAGGGAGGTTGGCAACCGCACAGCATGGATTCCATAAAAACAGTTCCTGCCAGACAAACCTTGTGGAATTCCATGATAAAGTCCTGAGGTAGCTATACGGAGAAGACGTGGTAGATATGGTTTACCTGGATTTCAGCAAGACCACTGACAAAGTACCGCATAATATTCTGGTCAAGAAATTGTTGAGCTGTGGGATAGATCAATGCATGGTTTGATGAACTAGGGCACAGGTGATGGACCGCAAGCAGAGGGTGACTAACTGGGGAATCATCAGGATGGCAGCCAGTGATGAGTGGAGTCCCCCAGGTCTCAGTTCCGGGACCAGTTCTGTTCAACCTTTTTATCAGTGACCTGGAGGAGGGGATAACCAGTCTGCTGACTAAATTCACAGATGATACCAAAGTGGGGGCAGTGACCCAAATTGACAGGCTGTGGAAGTGGGCAGAGGGCAACAGAATGGCATTCAGTGTGAATAAGTGGATAAATCTTGCACTTGGGACACAGGAATAAGTGTCACAGGTACAGGATGGAGGACAAGTGGCTGGAGAGCAGCACTTGTGAAAGGGATCTCATGATACTTGTTGACAGCAGGCTGAACATGAGCCAGCAGTGTGGCACAATGGTTAAGAAGGCTGATGCCATCCTTGGATGTATAGCCAGAAGCGAGGCTTCCAGATCTAGGGAGGTGTTGATACAACTCTACAAAACTCTGGTGTGCCCAACTCTGGTGAGTACTGTGCCCAGTTCTGGATTCCACATTATAGAAGAAACATAGCTAGGTTATAATTGGTTCAGCACAGGGTCACAAGCATGGTAGCCAGGTTGGAAGGGATGACATATGAAGAGAGATTGAGGGAACTGGGTCTTTTCAACCTGGAGAAGAGGACACTCTGAGGGGATCTTTCAGCGACTTATAGGAATGTGATGGGATATCATGTGGAGGAGGGTCATGACCTGTTCTTCCCTGCAGTGGAGGGCTGGATGCATTCCAATGGGGCAAAGCTCAAGGAACCAGGAAGGCAATTTCAGGTTGCATGTCAGGAAGTACTTCCTGTTGGTTAGGACCCCTAATGGGCTTCCAAGGGAGGTGGTTGAGGCCCCATCAGTGAAGATTGGACAACCACATGTTGGGGATTACATGAGCAGAGCCGGCTGGAGCTGGGGTTGGACTAGATGGTCCGGGATACTCTGCCTGGCTTTGTTTCTATGTCTCTACCTGAGAAGCTGACAGTAGTAGCCTTCTTAGATGCTTTACTCCCAGATTTGCCTGAGAGCAGGACTGGTAGAGCCACTGAAGATGCAATTCTGTGCAAGTTTAGACCAAAATAATAGGCCTCCAAATTCCCAGTTTGCTCCAGCCAACTCTCTCTGTCACACTACTCATTCTTAAATTACATACAAAATTTGAGTGCGAGTCAAGGAATTCACACACCTTTGGAATCTGCCACTATTGCCTGACTGAAGCAGACAGAAATGCTGTCTGCTTTCTCCTTTGAGAATTGCTTTGGTGTCTCTCTCTCTCTCTCTCTCTCTCTCTCTCTCTCTCTCTCTCTCTCTTTTTTGTGTGTGTGTGAATATTTAACCTTTTACCCATATATCTATGCCATTTATTTAAGATTGGAACAAGGGAGGAGCATCTGTTGGAAGCATGATTGAGGCACAGTGTCGGATGAAACTGGCTAGGTGGTTTAATATAAAAGCCTCCACAGCGAAAGATGTTTATTCATTTGCTGTTTTAACATCGCTTTGTACAGTTTTGGAAATGTGGCTGCTTCGTTTCACGAACAAATCAGAAGTTCAAGCAAAAATATTTTTTCTACAACTCCATTGTGTACTCTCCAGTAGAATCTGAAATGTGTTGTGAAAACACTGCTTTGTTCCTGCCTGTTCAGAATCATGTGCCTGAAAGGGAACAGGGCAACTACCGCCCTGTCTCAGCCTGTTCTTGTGGCTCTTCCTCTGACTGCTTGTATGGAGCATGACATACCCCAGCTGCCAGATTAGTAGAAAGTGTCCATTTTCACATTCTTCTAATAGGAACATAGGAAGAGCCTTCCTGGGTCATACTAAGATGGATACTGGTCCATCCAAGCCAGTATCCTATTTGCAGCAGCAGCCAGCCAAATGACTCCTGGAAGCACAGAAGCAGCGCATAATCTCAACATTCATGTCCCCCACATCAAGCATTAAAGTGATATAGTACCTCTGAACAAAAGAGGACATCTCTTAAGTCAAAAGATGACTAAAGCCGAAATTTAGTTTGCTACCAGTTTTGGAAATACCAGGAGGGATTTGTCCAACTTAGCTTGGGTCAGAGTCAACATCAAAGTAACTGCAGGACAAATGCAAAGGCAGGTCAGTTCTCAGGGAAAGGTAAAAGGGACAATTCTACCAGACAGGATGGACAGTTCCAAGAGAGGCATCTGAGGTGCAGCCAAGGTCCAAATATGGGAGGGTAGCCAAGCAGAAATGCAGCCAAAACAGCAGCATCAAGCAGGAATGCAGAGGTTGGTAGTAAAGAGGTTCAGTATCAAGGCAGGGCCAAAGAAACAAGACTAAAAGGCACTGAAAGCTAAGGTAAAACAATAGCTCTCAGTTGCAATTGAGAACTGATCTAGTCAGAGCTTTCTGAGTCCCATGCGAACTCAACAACTTCACATTTGCGTAAATAGAAAAGTTCACTCATGAGGATGGCCCTACTCATTTGCTGTGGTTCTTGAGAATGCATTTCACCTACTGCCCACATTAGAACTTAGGAGATGTTCAGTCACCTCCTCAGATTCTTTGGAAGATGCATGGTCCTCAAGGGCCCCTTCCAAGAGTTCTTCAATGTGCACCGGTACTGGAGGGCCTAGTGTAGGTCCCCTGGAGGTGCCATAAGTGCCAGTGTAAGGATTTTGGACCCTGTGATTTCCAAGCATCCTCTGACAAGTCATCCTGGCCTGGGTCAGGCTTGACAGATTGGAACTTGACAGTATCTTGTGTTGATGTTCTTGGAATTATATATAATCATCAGTTCTGGAGCCTGTTAGATCAATATCCTAAACTAAGTTTATTCATTATCACATCTACGATACTCCACTTTTCTCCTTTTCTAAGGAACCCAAAGCAGCTCATATGGTCCTCCTTTGCTCCATTTTATCATCATAATAACCCCGTGAGGTAGGCTAAACTGACAGACAGTGTCTGGCCCAAACTCTCCTAGTCAGCTTCATAGTTGTTTGTAGACTAGAACCAAGATCTTCTAAGTCTTAATAGAACACTATACCATACTGGTTTGACTTTAGTTTCTATGGAAAATGCTTAGTTAACTCTTTCAGCTGCCCTAATTTTCAATATCCCCAATGATTGGTGTCATTTTGTGTTTGAAGAAGGAAGGACAGAGGTGAAGAACAGAGTTACAGTAGCCTCTGCAGAGGAAAGGAACATGTGTTGCAGTCATCTTTCCATCAAAAAGCATTGCTCGCAATTTCCTAAGACGTATAGATTCTAACTTTGCACTTGGGCTTCCATGTACTAGGAGTTGCTGCCCTGGACAGTAAAGCCTCAGGAAGGATGGGACTCCGAGCAGTCGTCTACTATATGAGCACTACAATCATTGCTGTCCTGATTGGAATAATCATGGTGGTCATCATTCACCCTGGGAAAGGGTCAAAGGAAAAAATGTACCGAGAAGGCAAGATCGTGAGAGTGACAGCTGCAGATGCCTTTCTGGATTTGATCAGGTCAGACCACAGTTTCTGTGGCATTAGTGAAGTTGTTTCACTAGTTAAACACTGGCACAGGTGACATTGTATGGCTGAATGTATTAATCTCATGATGTCATACACGGAGCCATAGATCCTTTTTGTTTTCAAGAAAGCACCCACAGCAAATACATAATGTATCAATATAGACCTAAGGCAGCCTTGGATTTAACAACTCACCTGATACCTGTAGGCAAAGCAACTTAAAAATGTTACAAGGACAAGTTTTGAGCTGGGTCAGGAAGGAGACATTCCATATTTCCTGCACTATCTTGGCTTCTGTGCCAACACTGGGAAAAAAATTTATCCAGTGGAAAATGATGGTTTAAATTAGCTTGCTAAAAGTGTGGTTGTATGCATTTCCATGCTGGCTGTGGAGAAGACTTTTTTCTTTCATTCATTCATTTATTCATTCACACATGCACATCATTTAAAACTATTTTAGACTGCCTTTGAGAGTGGAATCCTGCCACACTGATGTATAAGAAAAAAATGAACAATACAAGCCAATACAATTCAGCCCAAACAGTAATTACAAATAAAATCAACAACCAAAAAATAATGAAGCACTACTGGGTTTCAAGGGATTGGACGAACTTTCAATGAAAGCTCTTGCTGGCATTTTGATGCCACTACCAAAATTTGGTGTTCACCAAGCTAACTGCTCTTGGCAGCAGCCAGGTGAGAGGAGCCTCTACCAATGACCCCAGAATGCAGCTGAAGATGTGGGCCCGAACTTCAAGGAACTCGAGCCCATATTGTTGAAGGCTTCAAAACAGGTACCAGCTATGTGTGGGCCTCCAAATATGGTTGGAATGCATCTCCTATCATCCCTCATTTCTGGAAAAATAGGAATTCCAGTCCCCAACATCTGAAGGGCCATGTTTCCCATATTTTTAAATGTTAAAGGCAAGACTTTTAATTGGATTGAGAAATGCAGTGACAGGTCAGTGTCACATGAACTGTTTGTCTAGTTCTTACCAATATTCAGGTGGTCATATTCTGCACCAGCTGAAGTTTCTGGAACTACCTTAAAGGCAGACCTACTATACGCAGCATGCTACAATAGTTCAGCCTGGATGCCACGAGCAAATGAGGCAAGGGTAGCTCTCTCCAGATAGGATTGTAGCTGCTATGCCACCCCGAACAGATCAAATACTTCCGGCCACTGCTACCACCTGATTTCCCTCAATTAGCACTGAGTCCAGAAGACTTCCAAAACTCTGCCCTTGCTTCCTCAGAGGGAGTGCAGTCCATCCAAGACCATGTACCGTCCTCTTTCCAGATAAGTTGGTTTTCCTGCTCATGGTGCCTCTTGTGTCTGGATTAAGTCCCAGCTTGTTTGGCTTATCCAACAAAAACCCAACTCTAGACACAAGAGTTCAACAAATTTCCTAGATTCATTAGATGGAATAGATCAGTAGAGCTGAGTTTCATCTACATACCTGAGTTTCAGAGCTTTGAATCCCTCCCCCAAAGTTTTGTTTAGATATTGAAAAGTACAGGAAACAAACTGGATCTTTGTGGTGTCCCACAAGACAGTGGAAGGACCAGAACCTTGATAACACCATGGCCCATATGCCCAACCCAAATAAATGATACAACAGGATTCCATCATTGCTGGTATCAAAAGTCTTTGAAAGGATCAGGAGAACCAACAGCATCACAATTCCCACTCCCCCATCCATTCTCCAGTATAAGCAATCTCCTTGGGTGACCCAAGGCTGTTTCTCAAGACCAGGCTTAAATCCAGATTCGAATGGCTCCAAGTACCTGTCATCATCTAAAACTACCTGGAGCTGATCAGTTTCCTAGGACACTGTCATTGCCCTGAGACACCCTGAAGGGTGGGATACAAAAATTTTATATAAATAAATAGATAAATACATGCCAACTTCTTGCCCAGGAAAACATGAATGATAATAATAAGTCTAAACTAGGTTTCTTTGAAAATGGGCATTTATCGCCCCTGAACTCCAAAAACCCAGCCTGTCATTGGCAGATTTCACAAGCTAGAGCAAAGGTGTATGAACTTCAATTCTCCAAGTAGTCTTTCCACATCCTCAAACTGTACAAGTTGAAATAAACCCATGATAATATGTTTGGACAGCATATCCATTTCTGACTGTATTAAAACAATAGAGACTTGTTATTAGTCAAGAAGTCGTGTCTGACCCATCATGACCCCATGGACAACATTCCTCCAGGCCTTCCTGTCCTCCACCATCTCCCAGAGTCCACTTAAGCTCACACCAACTTCTTCAGTGACTCCATCTAACCACCTCATTCTCTGCCGTCCCCTTCTTTTGCCGCCAATTGTTCCCAGCATTAGGCTGTTCTCCAGGGAGTCCTTCCTTCTCATTCGGTGGCCAAAGTATTAGAGTTTCATCTTCAGGATCTGGCCTTCTAAAGAGCAATCAGGGTTGATCTCCTCTAAGACTGACTGGTCTGATCACCTTGTAGTCCAAGGGACTCGCAGGAGTCTTCTCCAGCACCACAATTCAAAGGCCTCAGTTCTTTGGCACTCAGCCTCCTTATGGTCCAACTTTCACAGCCATACATTGCAACTGGGAAAACCATGGCCTTGACTATACGCACTTTTGTTGGCAGGGTGATGTCTCTGCTTTTTAGTATGCTGTCTAGATTTGCCATAGCTTTCCTCCCCAGGAGCAAGCGTCTTTTAATTTCTTGGCTTCAGTCCCCATCTGCGGTGATCTTGGAGCCCAGGAAAATAAAATCTGTCACTAACTCCATTTCTTCCCCATCTATTTGCCGGGAAGTAAGAGGACTGGATGCCATGATCTTAGTTTTCTTAATGTTGAGTTTCAATCCAACTTTTGCACTCTCCTCCTTCACCCGCATCAAGAGGCTCTTTAGTTCCTCTTCACTTTCTGCAATTAGAGTGGTATCATCTGCATATCTGAGGTTGTTGGTATTTCTTCTGGCAATCTTAATTCCAACTGGTGATTCATGTAGCTCCACCTTTCTCATGATGTGCTCTGCATATACGTTAAATAGGCAGGGCGACAGTATACAGCCTTGCCAAACTCCTTTCTCAATTTTGAACCAATCAGTGTTTCCGTGTCCAGTTCTCACTGTTGCTTCTTGACCCGCATATAGGTTTCTCAAGAGACAAATAAGATGGTCTGGTACTCCCCTCTCTTTATGAACTTGCCACAGTTTGTTGTGATCCACACAATCAAAGGCTTTAGCATAGTCAATGAAGTAGAAGTAGATGTTTTTCTGGAACTCCCTAGCTTTCTCCATGATCCAGCGTATGTTGGCAATTTGATCTCTAGTTCTTCTGCCTCTTCAAAATCCTGCCTGTACTTCTGGTAGTTCTCGGTCCACATACTGCTGGAGCCTAGCTTGTAGGATTTTGAGCATAATTTTGCTAGCATGTGAAATGAGTGCATTGGTGCAGTAGTTTGAACATTCTTGGCATTGCCCTTCTTTGGAATTGGAATGTAAACTGACCTTTTCCAATCCTGTGGCCACTGTTGAGTTTTCCAAATTTGTTGGCATATTGAATGTAGCACTTTTACTGCATCGTCTTTTAGGATTTTGAATAGCTCAGCTGGAATATTGTTGCCTCCACTAGCATTGTTGTTGCTCTGACTTCCTAAGGCCCATTTGACTTCACATTCCAGGATGTCTGACTCGAGGTCAGTGACCACCCCATTGTGGTTATCAGGGACGTTAAACTCCTTCTTGTATAGTTCTTCTGTGTAATCCTGCCACCTCTTCTTAATCTCTTCTGCCTCTGTTAGGTCCTTGCCATTTTGGTCCTTTATTATGCCCATTTTTGCATGAAACGTTCCCTTCATATCTCCAATTTTCTTGAAGAGATCTCTGGTCCTCCCTATTCTATTGCTTTCTTCTATTTCTTTGTTCATTTAAGAAGGCTTTCTTATCTCTTCTAGCTATTCTCTGGAATTCTGCATTCAGTTGGGTGTATCTTTCTCTTTCTCCCTTGCCTTTCGCTTCCCTTCTTTCCTCAGCTGTCCATTAGGCAGTGGGATGCATGGTACATGAACAGAATCCAAATTCTGTCTAAAGATTTCAACACACATTTGAAGATGCTGCATTACTGGACTGGGTACTTGATCCAGGAGATGCTGTAGACCATGCTAGCCCCTTTCCCTTTCCTTGAGCTAAGCTTGGAGAAACACCAAAAAACATATGAAAGAACATCTCTGAGAGAAGTTGACTCCATCCTCCTTTGTCCAACTTCACCTAATCCATAGCCAGCATGGAAACCCAGTACAGGCAGATTTTTTTTCCTACTAGCATCTTTTGTGGGCTTATTTACAAGGTTGTTTCTTGATCACACCTATAAATACCTTCAAAATAAATTATGATGGTTATTATAAAATCTAGCATTGAATAACTTCCTAATTCTTGCTATGGCTGGACTTGTAGAAGAATCAATGATCTTGAGAATTACTTCCATGAATTGATCATGAGCCTGTTTTGTGATGCATTTTTGGGACTGAGATTTCAAACCAAATTCATACATTATTGGTGAGGAACTATCATAGCATTCTAGTAGAAAAGTATCTTAGTATTTGTGGTAGACAATTAGAGCATTTATTTACAATCCTGTTTATTATATTCTGAAGGGAGAAATTCACTTTGAATCTGTAAGTCCAAACCAGTAATCAAACTAAACCATATTTCTACTGTTCAGCCAAAACTTATTTCTTTATTTAAGCTGTATCTCCAGAATGTCCAAGCAATTTACATAAAAGCCACATAGAATATAGGATAGGAGCAATTAATAAAATGATATCAAATAATAAATAACTTCACATTTCAACAAAAGCAGTAATTGCTCAGTGCTGCAATCCATTATAAGCCCTAGAAAACTGGGTGAACCAATGTGCTTTCGAGAGGCTTTTGAAGCTCACAGCAGCGTCTCGCTCCCAAACCACCCATGAGAGAGTTCCACGGCATCAGTGCCACTGCCGAGAAGGCCCGCTTGTGGGCTGTGACTTGGCAACACACTGTTGGCTATGGACCAACCAATAAAGCCTGTAATAAGGCTGGACTTGTGACAGGCAAGAGTTGCTAGATTTGAAGTGGCTGCTCAAACATTAGAAGGGGACATTCCCCAAAATAATTTGGGAAGTTGCATGCTACATGACTTGTTTTTGCTATCGTTCATGCATCTCCCATTAAAGAGTTCAGGTATCAGAAAAGACCTGTGCCTGTGCCTGTAGAGAGCTCCTAGCAGCCAAAGTATGTGGATGCACAAGAAATCTTGCCTGGGAGGAGTCAGCTTCCTATCTTGCTATGGATGGTGACCATGCAAAACTTACATGGGTTTTGTTGGGTGTAAATCACATTGGGTTCAGTGGAGCTTGCTCTCTAATAAATGTGCAGTGGATTGCACTTCGATACTGAAAAACTTTACCTCTGCTTTGTAAACCAAAAATATGCACCAACTTTTCTATGGTATAAAATACTTTGATTCCTTCCCTGCTTGGTCTTGAAACCATGATAAAAGTTGTATACTGTGTCTCAAATACTTTTGTCTCTTCCTCCTCCTCCTTGTACAGAAACATGTTTCCACCGAATCTGGTAGAAGCCTGCTTTAAACAGGTAATAGTGTCCTGCTCTTTTCAAATAAGAATGCAGTAGATTATATTTTCACTTGCATGGAACTCTTCCACCTGATAAAGACCTCTGTGGTGTTGAGTAGCTTGTTCTTTATATATATAAGGTTGTCACTAAGGAAAGAAAAACTTATTGTTGTGGCCACATTATGTTTTGATCTGATCAAAATGGATGTTTAAAAACTGTGAAGGAATTAGACAGGCCAAAGAGAAGCATGTACTTGAAGGAGGGTTCCATTTTGAGTTTTGAAAACTCATGAAACAGAGTCTATCCAGACAAAGAGTTTGTAAGTCTTCAAATCCTTTCCTGATCATTCTCCTTTTGTGGTTATTCATTCTTTAAAATGAACTCTATTTAGTGAAATATTGATACAGCTGTAGGCAATCTCTCTGTTGAATACTAACTATACATTTCAAATCAGCAGCAGACAACCTGCCTGCCAGCTAGTCTGGCTCAGAAACGCTCTTAAAAAACTGGACTGCTCTCTCCCAACTCGGCCAAGGAGAGTGGTATTTGTTTAGCTCGCTGAGGATGGGGTTGCATTGTCCCTGAAGAAGCAGGAGTGACGGGTACAGAATGCTGCTCGATCCACCTTCGCCCCGGGATACAGCCTGGCATTTCCAGGCAGGGCCAGAAGGAGCCCTGCCTGAGAGCCTGGAGAGCCATTGCTGCCAGTCCCACAATGCTGGGCCAGGTGGACTGATGCTCTGGCTCAGGATGAGGCAGCTTCCCATGTTCCTCTGAGGCTCATGTTGTCTCTATGGCACAGAGGACCATTTACCTGTCTCACCGTGCCACAGAGGTGTCTAACGTAGGCCCTCCAGGCCTTTTTTGCACCATCTGCCCAACTGAATTTGCCATGGAACATTCAGGGGTGTGACAGTGGCCAAGGGCTCAGTGCTTTGCTGCCAAAATTCAATAGTATAGGAGTTCATACAGACCCTTAAAGGGCAAAATGGCCCTTCCTTCTGCCAGGGTGGCAGATTCAGCAGGCTGGTGGAGGGAAATGGGGCAGGAATTGGCCCCTGGGCCCCAGAAATTGCTCACACCTGCCTTTCTTCAGTAGAAAAAATATGGTGAACAACTGAGATCAGATTTACCAGTTTCATCTTCTGCATAGGCCCTATGGCTTCTTCAGAAAGGTATATAAATGGTCAAAATACACATGTGATTTTTGTTGGTAGAGCAATGGCAGTATGCAGAAAAAATACAGCATTTTGTGCAAAAACAAAATTGGAGCCCTGGAAGCTGAAAGGTTTGTCTTAGTTCAGCACATTTCAAATAAATCAGCTGTGTGATCTTAGAAATAATGTTTCCTGCATACCTGGAAAACAATATCAATCCTTTTCCCCCCAATCTCTGACAGTTCAAAACAAACTATGAGGAACGAATACCTAGGGCAGATCATGATTCTAATGAGACCTCTGTCCTTGCTGGCATTATAAACAACGTGTCTGAAGCAATGGAGAACCTAACTCAGCTGAAAAAGGAGACAATCCCTGTTCCAGGGGCTGTAAATGGAGTGAATGCGCTGGGACTGGTGGTGTTCTCAATCAGCTTTGGACTGGTGATTGGGAACATGAAGGAACAAGGACGGGCACTGAGGGAATTCTTTGATAGCCTTAATGAAGCGATCATGCGATTGGTAGGACTAATCATGTGGTAAGTACTGAATGCGAGCCTCTTGGTAGCTGCAGCCCTGCAGAGTTCCTTACCTCAGGAGGCCGAGATCAGCTTCTGCCTCCCTCAGTCCTTCAGACGGAGGGAGGCAGACTGCAAGACCTGACCGGGGGTGGTGAAAGGCCAGTTCGGGCGCTCCACCCATCTTTCCTCTGCAGGGAGCCTCCTCTGGGGCGTCCTCCAGCTGCTGAGACACACCCTATGAATGCGGCCGCTCGCTGGCCCACCCTCTCCTCTGTCCCTCACCGCCCCATTCCTATCCAGCCGTGTTTGCTTCCAGGCAGATTCCTGGCATGGGGTGGAGTTCCTCTCCATCTCCCCAAAGCTATGGCTCTTTGTTTGTGCACAGTACTTTATAGAACGCAAGAAAGTAGCATCCAGCCTTGAAGGTTTCACATTCTATAATACAGCATGGGGGCAGGGAGGACAGAAGACTGAGTATCATATCCTAGGCTCTTGAGTTCAGTGATGGCTCCAGGTTTCTGACAGCTGTTGGGCAAGATAACCTTGGTGGGCCCCTTCCTGTATTAAGGCTCTTTCCAGTGCCATTGTCAGTTGCTGCCTTTGCTCCTCACCCTCCATCTCATCCTTATGCCTGCTTGCTTGCTTGGCAGGCAGAGAGCAGCAAGCTCATAGACGGTGGCATCTCCTGGTCCACCTTCCTGCCACCAGAGGTGTCTTGTGCAGTTGCTGGGAAGAGACAGGTGAATAAGCACGTTGGAATGATGAAGAAGAGGACAACTCCTGGAGGCCAAAGTCTTCATGAAACATTTGGGTTTCCATGAGGGATTTAAAGGAAGTAAGGGTGGAACATCACACAGTTCTCAGAGCTGTTTCAGGCATTAGGAACAGCAAGGGACATGCTGGGAAAATACAGGGTGTTCAGGAAGCCTTCAGAATGTGGAGCTGGAGGCATGGAATTCATGGAAGGGATGTATTGGTATATAAGAGCAAAGAGAGGCAGGGTAAGGAGACAGCAAGTCAACTGTTTGTTCAACCTACAGTCCGTGTTACCATTGGCAAAATAGGCTGGCTTCCGAACTGGTGCAAGTTCACAGGGTGGCCATCTTATGAGGCAAACAATTTAACTGGTGGAGAGGGAACAATGGCCAGCTGTGCTGCTCCCTGGCTCCATGCCTGCCCCTGCCTCCAGCAGGTAGCCTTAAGAGTCCTGCAAGCCACTTTCCTGCTGTGACACTTGCCCAAAGTCTCATATGAGGTCCACCAAAGTCTTGGCAAAACTTCCACCAAGTCTTGAGAGACATTGGGCAAGCTTTTGTTAGACTTGGAATGAACTTTCCACAGCTGGGAATAAAAGCAAATGATGGGTTGATGGGTATTCAGCAACTTCCTGCCTCAGATGGCCTGGCCTATAAATTTGTGTAATGTGAATTCATTTCAGTGGGCCCAATCTACAGAAAACTTTCTCAACCTGGTACCTTCCAGATGTGTTGGACTCTAACTCCTATCATTCCCCACTCATTGGGGGCTGGCCAGGTTTGGTAAGACCAGTGTACAGCTATGTGGGTTTTTGCATACCTTGCTTCTGGGCTCATTTTCAAATCAGGTTAACCCTGGACCCAATCCAGACCACATTCATATTTGGCACTTTGATTTTGTCAAAGTTGATACAAACTGGGGAGGGAGCTACATAAACCCAGAAGAATATCCATCATATTCCAGGATGAAGGTATGTAGCCAGGATTAGAATAATATAAGGTCACATATGAGGTTAAATAATATAAGGTTAAATATGAGTGAGCTGCATTGTAGCTAATATTTTCCATATTTGCCACCAATTTCCAGTGTGGATAAATAACCAGTACTTGAAAGTCCTACTGGCTTACTCTCTTGTAAATGTACTTAGAATTGCACCGTAATCTTCTTCACAGTTAGAAAGGAAACTCTAAACCTTTAGAATGCAGCAGGGGAGTTCTGAATGTGAGAAAATAATGATGTATTACATCAGCACTACATACCTTTGCACTGAAATGGTATTATAGCTGGACACTAGCAGAGCTCAGTCATAACTCTGGCATTTGTTTGTAGGTATGCACCACTTGGGATCTTGTTTCTGATTGCTGGAAAAATTGTTGAGATGGAGGATATGGGTGTGATTGGAGGACAGCTTGCCATGTATACCGTTACAGTTATCATTGGCTTATTCATCCATGCTATTATTGTTCTTCCTCTACTCTACTTTTTAATTACCCGAAAGAACCCTTGGGTCTTTATTGGGGGATTGCTGCAAGCTCTCATCACAGCCTTGGGAACATCTTCAAGGTAAGAATATCCATAACCAAGTTTAGTTTCGGATCGTATTTTACACAGGATAAGTTTTGATTCTCAGTCACTGAGTGATAGTTTCCCTTTGTGTGGGGCATTATTTCAGCCCCCCACACTTGTGCCCCAGTCCAGCTCTAGTCATTTTTTGCAAAGCAACTTACACATGACCAGCTATCCAATGTAGACAAGGAAATATGTGACTTTTCAAGTACACTTTGATCTGTTTGTTTTAAATTGTGTTTTCAAATGGATGCTGTGTTTTAATTTTTTTACATTTTGTATTGTTAAATGATCCCGAGACTTCGGTAATGGGACAGTCTAGAAAAGTTTTAAATAAATAAATAAATAAATAAATAAATTTAGCCCTTTAGAACAAAAAGGGACTGGGCAGAGCTTCAAAAGTATCTCTCCAAACTGGAAGAATAGGCATCATGTAGTTCAGTGTAAGCACGAGTATGCTAATGCACCTTGGGACAATTTTTAAAAATCCCAACTTAAGTACAAACTGATGGAATCTGAAATAATAAACTGACCAAGAGATCTGAGAGCTGAGGGATGGATATGTCATGAAAATGTCAGCCTAGAAAACAGCAGCTGTGGAAAAAGGCAAACATCGTGGTAGCTATAGTTGGGAAGGGAATTGAAAATAAAATTGTCGATATCATACTTCCTTTACACAAATCTGTGTTGGGACCATACTTAAAATACTGGTGATTGTACCTGAAAAAAGGATAATGTAGAATTGGAAAAAGTGCAAGAATGGGCAACTGAAATGATTAAGGGCCTGGAGCAAATTGACTATGAGGGAAGGCTATAGCATCTGTGTCTGTTCAGCTTAGAAGAAGGGCAAGTAAGAGGGGACATTATGGAGGTGCAGAAAAGCATGCATGATATGGACAAAGTGAAAAGGGAGACATTTTCTCCCTCTCCCAAAATAGCAGCACAGAGTGATTCCATGAAGCTGATTGATGGGAGATTTAGAACAAATAAAAAGAAGGACTTCTTCACACAGTACACAGTTAATGGAAATCACTTCTGCAGGTTGTAGTGATGCTCCCCCTTTTGGATTTATTTATGCTTTTAAATACCGTTCAACAGTTCCCAGAGCAGTCTTTCAAAATCTCTTGGCCACCAATCTACCCACCTCCTGTGCTCATATTAATGGTAGCCACGTGATCATAACTCCTCTTCAGAAGGGGATTGGACAAATTCATGGTGGCTATCGATGGCTGATAGTCCTGATGGCCATATTCTACCTCCGGGATCAGAGGCAGCATGCCTAGGTACACTGGTTGCTGCGGGACTTGGGCGGGAGGGTGTATTGCACGTGCCCTCTTTGTGGATTCTCCATGGCCACTGTGTGAACAGGATGTTGGCTTAGGGGAACCCCTAGTCTGACCCAGCATGGCTCTTCGGGTGTCCCTATGAAAACAGTGCAGTGAATGCAAATAGCATCCACCTTGGCTTTACACCCATGGTTCCTGATTCAGCAGGTGAACATCTGGAGTTGCTTTATATCTATTCACAGCCTTAGCTCAATACTGTCTGCTGTCCATGGCCTTCAGCTGAAATGAAAGAGATTGAACTAGAGAAAATCTGCAGGCAACATGCATGGTTCCTTTCTAGTAATATATATACAGAAGATGTCCATAACTGGTCTGGGACATTAATTCATAGCCCAGTGCTCAAAGACTGAAAAGCATAGTCTGTTGGGTAATTTGAACATTACTGTCATACAGAACATACAGACAGAACATTATTGTGTGTGGTTTTTCTCCTGGGTGAATCATGGATACATGTGTCACTTCATGATATTAGCACAAATACATGTTTAGTCATCAGCCATTTTCTAGAGAGGTAATGCTGTCTTTCTCCCCCTCTGCTTTTAGTTCTGCTACCTTGCCGATCACATTTAGATGTTTGGAAGAGAATAATGGAGTAGACAAACGCATTACGAGATTTGTTCTCCCTGTGGGTGCAACTATTAACATGGACGGGACAGCACTGTATGAGGCATTGGCTGCAATATTCATTGCGCAGGTTAATAACATGGATCTAAATTTTGGACAGATTATCACAATCAGGTTGGTACAAACATTCCAGAGTTTGGAATTGTTCTATTTTGCAGTGGGATTAAGGGATGTTTATGACACTGCACAGTGGCAAACATTTTTCTTTCACCATACGTACATGAATTGGTAGCTGTGGTGTATATCAGAACCCTGAGTTGTGTAGAGCATTAGACCCATGAATTAAAATGGGTACAGACTATTGTTGCAAGGGGAGATTCCTCCCCAGGCCCATGGCAGGCCAGATGATGCCAGTGGGTGTGGCCAGCGTCCTCCCTGGCCCCCATCTGCTCTTGGTTTGCACTGAAAGGAGACTCTGACTTCCATGCATCTCCTCAGCAGATGGGATGCAGCTGACACTGGGATGATCATGATGTGGGGTCATCTTATGTTCCCATGCAGCTCCATTTTCCACCCCAGCAGTGGTGTGGGGTGATGGAAGCCTTGGAACCTGGGTTCATCCAGCTGTGGAAGGGGAGGGAGAAAAATGTTGACCTCAGACTAGCTTATGGTATGGCACTTCCAAGTTCACTAGGAACTGTGTTCCCTCAAAAGGGTGGGGTGGGGGGAAAACCATATGATATATTTAACCAAATAAGGGAAAAGAGAGCAGGAAGAAAGTACAGTCAGCATTCAATTTAAAAAAAAAAAAAAAACTTAAGTATCTAAAGCAATGTATTGCAAGGAAGGGAGTCTGCTTGTTCCACAGTGACAGGTGGATTTTTAAAAACCTATCTATAGTTGTAGAATCCAGGACTGAAAGGCAGCTGCACCAGGGCTCAGTCACTGGCAGTGGGTGCTGGGGCCACTGCCAGTAGGAAATGGATTGAAAAGCAAAATTCTGAATCCTTCCTTAGCACTTCTATTTTGTTTCTGTCCCATCGCATTTTTAAAAATCTTTCCTTTTAAATCTCTGGTTCCTTCTTACATTTCACAACCCTCTTACAAAATCTTTCCTCATCACCCCCTTATCTCAGGGGCTCTTCAGAGTCAGAAAGGGTTGAGGTCCTGACATCAGACAGAGGGCTACACTAGGGTTATCAGCCACATCAAGAAACCTAAGCTTTTCTACATTGTGTGTTCATCATTCCTCAGAAACAGTTGTTTATGGGTTCTTTAGATGATGATGTGACTTTCAGTTTTGCTTTTATGTCTAAAGAGCATTTTTGGTGACTTTCTGGAGCTTACGGCAGGATTTAGTTCTAGCTAGAAACAGCTTTTTTCAATTTTGTACTTGTATTATGCTGACATACATGGCGCCACCTAGAGGTTATGTACTGGAAAAACAAAAGGAAATGCTCTTGCTGTAGTGCTTAGATCTTGGTTCTTCAACAAAACAAAAAGCTGTTACAGCACAGTGTACAAAATCTCTTAGAAGCAAGATTTTTCGTTAATGGGACAAATACTAACTAGACTCCAGGAAAGCACATTGTATATTCCAGAAGAAGCTGAATAAAAAAGCATAATGCTGAATAAGGTGGAAGTTCTGGGAGACTTTACACTTTACCACCACCTCTTATTGCATTTCCCTTAGTGTACTCATTCATTTTATAAAACCTGCACTAATAACATGTCCTTTTCCTACTTTAGTAATATTCCAAGGAGTGTCAAATGTGCTTTAAAATGGATATAGAGCAAATCATCATCCCCAGTGTATACGTTTGTCATTAAGTATGGCTGCCACCTTCAACTAGTTTAATCGGCATATTACAGTACAGTTCTGCATCTACAATGAACGGCAATCCTATACCCACTTACCTCGAAGTAAGCCCATTGAGTTCCAGGTGACTTACTTCTGAGTAGATATGTACAGGATTGCATGCTTAATCAGTTGAAACCATTATTAATTAATTGGACAATTAATTAAATCTGAATCAGGATGGTTGTGAGTTAAGGGCACACCTGTTAATTGCTTTGATACCATTTTGCCTCTGGTGTGTTACCACAATGGGGGGAGCAAAACAAAACATGAAGTATAGCTTTTCCTTCTAATGGTGTTTGTGAGGTCATAGTTTATTAGTTTTCTATCATGCGGTGCTGTGAGGACTGATACTGAAATGTTTTTTATTTCATGTAATTATCAACTTAGGCCTGAGGGCAGTATATTATAAGAATACAAATAAAAGCCAAGGATACAAGTAACATCTGAAATCCATATAAATCATATCAAAAGCACATAATTAACAAGCACAGGCTAAAACAAGAGCAAGACAATAACACTTAAAAAAATCAGGAAGATACAATTACTTAAAACTAACATAGCAAGAGTATCCAGAGAATTAAAATGTTCAGTGATAGAAAGATAACCAAGTAAGTTTCAGGCTGACCTATCCAGAGAGGGTTTTCCATAACAGAGGAGTGGGGTTACTGCTGAAAATGCCTGTTCCTCCTACCCATCATTCCTCAGAGCAGTGCCTGGAGCATGCTGGGATTTGTAGGCCCCTTTTCTGCCTAAAATAATTCTGCCTGCAGTAATTAAGTGACACAATCCTAGAATTTTCCCCCATCCCGTGCATGTTCTTAGTATACATGGACACTGCAGTGTGGGCAGTGTGGGGAATGGAACTCAGCGTGCTTTCTTCACCTTCTCCCTCTGCTTCTCTTGGCTAAGTTCCAGATACATGGAATCATGCCCGGACATCCAGCTCCCCAGTCTGACTGATTCTGCTACCTGCACCCATGTCCACATGGGAGTGCATATGGGAATGGCGGGGGGGGGAGTGCCATTGATAACTTGATCCTCCATGAAAATTAAATTAAAGGCAGCTATATCTAAGTTTATGTACTTGCAATTTATCAGTTAAGAGGCAGGTAAATTCAATTTTTAAATTTAGTGACATTCAATTAATGCTCTATCACTGTATGTTAGTTGCCTTTCAATCAGTTCAGTACGAAATTCTCCTTGCGATTCATTAAGATTTGGGATTCATTGCATTGTGTACATGTCTGAAATACTCTGTGGATGTTTGTCTAGTTGGTGAATATAGCACATTATTTCTATGCATACATACATACAGTAATCTTATTGTAAAATTGTTATCCTTGTAAAATTATTTTAAAATTAGTATCTTCAAGATTTTGTATTCCACTTTTACTAGCTTTTATTTGTGAATTGTAATTTTTATTAACTGTCCAGAATACTTTTGTTGTTGGTTAGTATGGAACTGAAATAAATGGGATGGAATGGGATGGAATGGAATATGAAGTATCCTAAAACTGCTTTCTCAGGTTTACTATTATTATATTAGCCAATAAATGAACCAGAGAGGCACCATAGCTGATGGTTTATCTAGCTTATGAATTCAAACCGCAGTATTTAACTCCAAATCTGAAATCGATGGTTAACATGTGGCCTGCAAACCTTCCCACCACCCATCTTTAGTACAAGGGCTGGCAACTTTTAGAGACCATTTTTGCCCCCATATATATAGTGGCATCCAAAACACTGCCAATTTGGCATTGCAAATCAGCAAGATGCTACCGAATGGTACAGTGGCTGAATTTAGCTTGCTTCCAAGCAGAATTTGGTCAGTGGAGTGTAATGTTGTTTTTGTTTTGTTTTTGTGATAGCAAGAAAATGTGAGTCATATGGTGGTCTGGGGGTGCATGAAAACGGCCCATGGACCTCCCTAAATTCTGCCCACCCCTGCTCTAAAGCCTGAGTCTTCTGGGTCATTTGCATTTATTTAAAACACACACACACACAAAGCCATTATGCTTGCTTTGGTATCTTCTTTCTCTGGACAGCATCACGGCTACAGCGGCTAGCATTGGTGCAGCAGGAATTCCTCAGGCTGGCCTGGTCACTATGGTGATTGTGTTGACATCTGTTGGTTTGCCTACAGACGATATCACCCTCATCATTGCCGTGGACTGGTTTTTGTGAGTATCTTTCATGCATGCATACACTCTGTTAGTGAATGAAGCAAACCAGGGGACACTTGGGCAAACAAAACATTTTAGTTTATTCCTCTGTGGATGCATAGTTAAAAAAAAATAAGAATACTCAGAAGTATTGCATGGAATTGGGAAATGGCCACTTCATGCACAGAACATGCCAGCATGGTATGGTGGTAAGGATGCTTTGCTTGGCCCTGGAAGCATCTTTGGGCTTCTCCACAAAAGGCATTTGTTGTGCACTCATGATCATGCAAAGCCTTTTCATGACATCTTTGTCCATTGTGTTTTCTAGCCGTTTTTGTGGCGTTTTAGAGGAAGGAAAGCTGCTATGGAAAAAGAACTTCAGTAGTGCAGAATTAACTACCTTATCCAGATACATTTTTAAAAACTCACGTTCTCCTCGCTTTCTGTACAAACTATTTAAGATACAATCCTATGCAAGTTTAGGCAGAAAAATGCTTACAACCTGCACTGTAAGCCTTCTTCTGTCCAAATTGGCATAGGATTGTACCTTTCATTAGATACACATCTTAGCTGGCTTCAGAACTGGTATTTTTTCTGCATACAGTCAGTATCCTCATTACCACAGTACCAACACAGAATTACATTACAGATTACATCTTCCTTTCTTAATTTCAGTGAATGAATCTGCACATGCATTCTGTCATCCAGCAGATGCTTTCAAAGACTATTTTTAAACCATCTAGAGCCAGTGTGGTGTCGTGGTTTTAGCACAGGACTGGGACTCTGGCAATCTGGGTTCTAGTCCCAGCTTGACCATGGGCCAACTGAGTGACTTTGAGCTAGTCACAAACTGTCAGGCCAACCTACCTCACAGGGTTGTTGTTGTGGGGATAAGATTGTGAGCAGGAGAATGATGTAAGCTACTTTGAGTTTGTTAAAAGAAAAAAAATGGCTATAAATCTAATAAATAAGTAATAGCTTGTTTAAATTGTGACCGGTTCCATAGGGATCGTCTGCGTACAACTACCAATGTTCTGGGAGACTCTATTGGAGCAGGAATTGTAGAACATTTATCACGGCACGAGTTGAGGAACAAGGATGCTGAGATGGGTAATTCTGTGATAGAAGAGAATGAAATGAAGAAGCCTTACCAGCTAATTTCACAAGAGAATGAGAATGAAAAGCCCTTAGACAGTGAAACCAAGATGTGAACCAAGGTATAGGGAGTTTCAAATGAAGCACTAGATATATGAAAAGTGTATAATTTGTCCAATGCTACACCATCTTGTCTTACATCTCTCCATTCAAACAACACTGAAAAGTTTTGGGGCTTCCCAAGGCATTGTAAGAGATTGGAACTGTCACACACAAGGTCTCTTTGCCTCCTCTTCCTTGTAATATCCAAGTAAAGACCATGCACAATGTGATGCCATTGTTCTGGGCTCATTGCCCTGCTCCCACAGCCAGGAGTATGAGGTAAGGGAAAGGCAGTGTTCCAGCCACAGTGGTATCAAGCCACGTGTTGTGCTCACCTCGACATTATTTGGAAGACGAGGAAAAATGTGGAATGACAACAGTTTCATATTTCTTGTAATGTTCAGTTAAGCCATTTGTGAAAAATATTCCTGATTAGTAATGACTGATATTTAAATTTAAAGAAATAGCAGACATTGCACAAAGTTGTGATGTGATATGCTGAAGGATGGAAAATACATTGTAATCAAATTGCCAAGAATATTAAAGTGTACCAGTTTTTTAGTCCTGTAAATGTGTTCTCACATAATGTAAGCTCAAAGGGCAAAGCACAGAAGAAATCCTGAGATGGTCTTGATTTGTTAAATGACTGTTACATATTTTTAATACCACAAAGGGTGCAATCTTATGCATGTTTAGACAAAGAAAGGACTTATAACTTCCAGCCAACATACATAAGATTGTGCCCTAAGACTGCAATCCTTTACCTCTTACCTGGAAGTAAACCCCATTGGATTCAGTGGGACTTACATCCAAGTAGGCATGCATAAGATTGCACTGTAAGTCAATGTTTTACATTTAATGTATTCCCCAGAGAAGCGAAAAGGAAATGTATAAAGCTATCACTTCCTTATTTTACTGCTGTTGAAGCAGTAGAAGTAAAAATACTGATTCTCTGCAGGTCACACTTGTTACCAACCAAGTAAACAGATGCATCATGTTTTCATTTTTATTCAATGGGATATTTTGGTACCAGGAAGAGCCTAATACTTCCTGGTACTGTGCACCTTCAAGACCCATTGATTTCCTAGATTATGGACCTGCAAATACCTCTGTGCATGTGTAATTTTACAGTTTCTCTTTGGGTTACTACCTAACACAAGTATTGTTGCCCATGCACACTGTTTTTTCCAGGATCAGAGTTCTAATATATGTATATATGTGTGTGTACCCAGACACATACATACAGCACACACGTGCACTTTGAAACAGAAACTATATGTTCATTATGTTGTTGTGTGGGAGATTAAACTGTTGGTACCACATCAGTGTGGGCTTTTGAAATGCCTACTGAGCATCCAGCTCCCTTTGGATCAAACCACTTGGAACATTCCACTGATCTAACTAGATCAAGCCTACACAAGCTGTGATTCACCCACCACTGAATGTAGCCCTCCAGCCATGATTAACAGCCTACCAGAAGTTCAAGAAAGTGCCTGGTTTTGTTGCTTGCCAGGGAATAGAAAAAGAAAGGATTGTCCAGCATCAGAAGGATCAGAATACACAGTTGAAGAGCTATGTTTAATCATGGGTCATAAATTGTGTAGGTCTGATATAAACTGTATAGATCTACAGTTGACTGAGTTTGACAGACTATTTCAGTCAGAGTTGGAATCCTAACTGACACTTTTTATCCTATATTACCCATGGATATACCTATGCAGCTTCTCCTGTTCTGGGAACTGTGGTTCATTCAGTTCACTGAGAATTCTATTACAGAGCCCTAAGCCACCCACAAACACACAGAGCTGAGCTATACATTACATGTAGTTGAAAGTTAGCTTTTTATTACTCTAAGTATGCACAGTTGTTCCCCTCCCATACACACACACGTGCACACACCCCAATTTTTCTTCAGATGTCTACACCAGCAGGGAAGGGGTTTAAAAGAAAACAAGCTACTTCCTCAGTATCACTGGAGGCTTCTTTTATGTTATTTCCCCCCTATCCATGGGTGGGGGGCAGGGCACAATTCGGGAAGAAATGGTGAGAGAAGGTTTAATCTCCTTTCAGGGCATGGTGATCCTGCTCTGAATTGTGGCCATGAGTGCTTACACTAGAGTAAAGAAAAAAGCTACACACTGGCTAGATTTTCATATCATGAAAAAAATCCACCCTGAGAAAAAGCAAACCAGGGACTCACTGATGGTCCACTAACCTGACAGATGATCAGGTACTTTGTAGCTTGCCATGGCTTGTTTGCCCATTCAGTCCTTTCACCAGTTTCTGGTGTGTTATGCAAACCAGGTCACTATTTGATCAGGGTAACATGTAGTTTGGCTCACATACACAAAGCAAGAATACTCTAAAAAAAGAAATCAGTTTAAATCAGTTTAAATTTGTGACACAGATATGACCCTAATTGTTCCCCATCTTCTAACTTCTGTTAAAAGATCATTAATGTCGGCTACCTAAGAAGGGAGACACTCAAAGTGTGGTAGAAGTGGGCTTTGAGCACCAGTTGATGCATTCAAAGCCAGGTTTTTTTTCCCAGACAGACATGGGCTGCATTCACATGTAACAATACACAATAATTTAGCACTTAGTGCACTCCCCCATCTCACAGGACTAGGAGGAAAAAGCAGCAGCCAGATTTCATTTCCACTTTAGCAGATTCCTGGCTTGTCACAACATGTGAGCCAGGAATAACAACTTAAAATAAACTTCAGCTTAAGTGAATCTGGATTATGATTTATTCCTTCTAGTTGTAAGAGAGAAGTGTGCCAAGAGTTCCATGTGAATGCCACCAATGCAAGTTCAAACCATTTTTGCAGAGTTAAAATGTGTGTTTGTCTTCACCCTTCTAAATCTTAACAGCAGACACCCTTGAAAATTCCTGCTATCATCTAAGCAACTTATAGCTGAAATGATAGGTAGCAGAATGCACATAGCATCTAACAGGTTTCAATAATATTTCCATTATCATATTGGGACTACAGAGGAGAAGAGAATGCATTTGAAAAGAGTGATTTTCCAATTATTTGTTTTCTTGCTTTATCTTTATAAGCAATGGAAAATTGCTTCCAAATGCATTGAAAAAAAAATTGGGGGATGCAAGGGAAAATTGCCAAGTTCACCATACTAGCAACATCTCCCCTGTAGGGTATAACTACTTAGAGCAATAAAATTAAAGTGGTGCTTGGTAGGAAAAAAGAATATATAAACAACAGAATTGTGAATACATTTAATAAATAATTGAAAATATAAGAGAGGATTTTAAAAGAGAAATATTATAGATCTTCTTCAGGGAGTAAGGATGGGACAAATTTTAAAAATTAAGTTGGGATCCAAATAATGTGGTTTAGTATATTTTTGTCCATTTCAAGCTTACTCCCTGAGGAAGCCCATTTATTAAAATAAAGAACTGTTTTATATATTTTACATGCATTGTCATAAGGGTCAGACAGGAAAGATTTATGGAACCATAACCGGTAGAGTGTGGAAAAACACAGGCATGCGCAGAGTGCTGAAAGCATGCTGGACATAGGCAGGTCTTTCCCTTGGAGCAACGAGGCAGGCTCCTTATTTCGCAAGTAGCAAACCCTCCTCACTTAGCTTCACCTTGAGCACTTCCTTGTAGAAAGTGAAGCGGAGTCATTCCAAGGTATTCAGCAGTTGGGGGTGCCTTAAACAATACATGGCTCTTGAGTAATCTCTGACTGAATGCAGTGATGGATGCTCCTTTCTATGGTTATTTTTATTTGTGCTAACTAAAAGGAAACCTAGATTACAGGTTACAAGCATTTTCTGATATGTAACTAGATATATTTTTATAGAGATACTGTATTCAGTATTTGTTACAGAAGTTAATATTAGATTATATGGAATAACATTTTAATTGCATTTTTGCTTATGATTGGATACCATTTCTGAAAATAAGCTGCAAAGAGGATTCCGTGGAAAAGTTTGTCCTTTCATGTCATCAATTTAGGAACAAAAATGTGTTACAAAGTATGTCAGCTTTTTAATTATTTTTTACACTAACTCTGTTTCTTACAGAAATCAGGTACCATAGAACAATCTCTTTCCTGTACCCATTTTGGGTTGGCAGCTGGGTGCACCCAGTGTTGCTTGAAAAAATGTTACTTTGTAGGTGTATTTTCAATAAAAATAGTTTTACATTATTATTTTTGAATGATGTGTTTTTTACCCACCCTCATCCCCAAGAGGATGAAAGGTATGAAGTGTGGTACATTCCAGACACATGCTTGCACTTATCTCAAGTTCTCAGTTCATGCACTGATTCCAGCTGAAGTATTTTAGCTTCAGAATAAGTTTCAGTTGTTCCAATAAAATCAGGTCTAAATTTTATTCTTACCACATTGCTAGTCACTCGCATGGGAAGTGATGTATAATATAGCCGTGTATATTGTTTGCTCTAGGCAACTCTTACGTGATAGAAATCAAATAGTAAAAAATGTGTGGGGGGGTTCCCTGCACTGTTGAAACATGTCCCATCAAGCATAGGTAATATTGAAATGGAAATTTTGTTTGCTGTCTCTATAGTGTCTGCACTTCACGGATACGGCAACTCTGCTTGGGCGGATTAATGGCACTTTCCCCTCATGCCACTTGGCTAGAAGTGGCTGGCTGTTATGCGACTCATTCCCACGTGTGCCTTGCAACTGCAGCAGCCCAGTGTTGTGCTGTGCATTGCCTCCTACCCCAGCCCACTGATTCGAGAGTTGCATAGCCTTCTCCGTGTCAGAGGACTCACCTTTTCCTTTGCAGTTGAAGTGCACTGAAGGTTTCAGCCTAGACAGTTTCCAGACCCATGACAGATGGGCAGATCTGTCTCTTCAGTTTTGCTCAGTTTCCTATTTCCACTCTGGCCATGCTCTGCTCCCATGGGCTTCATCCAAGCATTCCTCGGGATCCATTGTTATTGAACAGCCTGATGTAGCTCCCCACAGCTGTCCAAGGTGTCTGGGGTCATGGTCTTCAGGATCTACAATGT